CATTATCATCATCATCATCATCATCATATCATCATCATCATCATCATCATCATCATCATACGAGGGACGCTGAGCCCGGTTCTCAGAATGATCGGTTCGGTCACTCCGGGTAGACTGTGAGGACCCCGGCCTCAAGGTTCTTGTTGATAATATCAGCCTTGGGCACTGGGCCCGGTTTTTGTAAAAAAAAAAAAAGAAAAAAAAAAGAAGGGGAAACAATTGAACACGTCTTTTTGCAATGCCCAGGAGCAATCTTATTATGGCGACGATGGGACTATGTATGGCAAAGAATGACACACTTGGAATGGCCCTGGGACTGGAGGGCTATCCTTCTAGGATATTGGAATCCACCCCTGGTCTCGTTATCAAATTTTCAACAGAACTATTTTAAAATAGGAAGGAAGGCGGTTTTGCGGGCTTTATGGTACAAGAGATGTGTTAACACAATGGAAGATGTGAAGATCGAAGGTAAAGAGATGGTAGAAATAATTCAACAGTTTGTACAAACCGAACTCAGGGCTCAATGGGAAACGACGAAAACAGTTAGTATGAATCTCAAACAAAAAAAAAGATACTAAACAAAAAATTCAAAAATTCAATTCAGACTGGCTGGGGGATGTACCAGGGAAGAAACTGGGGGAGGTGGTCTGGCCAGGAGAGGGAGTTCAGGTATTCTTCAAACGGGATTACCAGATCATTTTTCATGACTGGTTTGACATCCAACCAGGAGCTACCTTGAGAGGGTCTGAGTTTTTTTCGGACCTTCTTCCTCCATCTCAACTAGTATTAGTAGACCTTCAATGGTTTGGGGGAGGGTGAGGATGAGAGATAGTAGGAATAATTGGTGGGGTGGGATTGAGGGTCTACCAAGGGGCTGTATTATGGATATTTGAAAAGGAAACTGCTAGATATAGTCCTTTCATCAGGCAGTCAGAAAGCTGGCTGAAGAGGCAGTCCATTCTTTTCTTTCTTTTTTTTCTTTTTTTTTTTCACAGTTGAAGGCTCCATCTATTGGTAATTAGATGTAGGTAATTAGATGTGATGTAGTGACGAGTAACCAACAGCAAACACGTCATGATCCAGTACAAAGACAAACGATGTCGCCAAGTACAAAAAGTACAAAAGTACAAAAAATACATAGTCAGGCAAGTGGCCAGGTACAGATGCATTCCAATCAACAACAAATGCATGTGCCGGTGGGTTTGGCTACCCCGACCGGTTTCGACCGCCGCCACGCGGTCGTCTTCAGGGGGCTTACCACCTCATCGTCAACCCTCAACTAAGTCCTTCTTTCCACTCTCCCCCACACAGTCGCGTTC